TTAGTGAGTCTGGTATAATTTCTTTTTAAATAGGGCCTTACATTATTTCTTTTGAAAAAGATTCTCTGTATCTTTTCAGTTGGAAGGCTGTTTCTCAAGGAGCAATTCCAAGAAGAAAAGTCAGGAAGAAAAGCGTTAAAGTGTTAACTTCTTACTTGCTCTGATTTCATGCTCCTCACACCCTGACCTTGGTGCTTCCCAGTGTATGGGGTTGGGTTTTCCACTTTATTTAGGTCTTTCTTGTTTAAATATTTCTTGTTCAAATTCTAAAATGACTCCTTTCTTATAAAACTTAAAATGTTTTTCAGTTACATGATCTCATAAATAAATATTGGTATTGGTCTTGTTTTTCAAAAGTGTGAGGAATATAAAGAAAGGAAATGCTGGGCCTCATCCTCTTTCCTTATAAAAAGAGAGGTTTGCAAAGAGTGATTTTTAAGATTTTGTCCAGATCTAAACTTCAGTAATTTTCTCAAATGACACGGACAACTCCCTTCTCTCCATCCGCTATGATAATGATTCCTGGAGACTGAAAAATCTCTCTCAAAACTTTCAAGGCAAGGTCTTACTCCACTCATTTATGTGGATCATTTGGGAATTTTTAATTAGATGCCCTGGAATCAGGGAAATGAGGTAGTTAATTCCTGGAAACTCTGCCTCTGTAATTATGTATGACCTTATTTTTGCCATGCATATTACAAAGGGAAAATTTGCATTTATTTTGAAACATTCCATGATCTTTACAAATGTGAAACTTCAAAGTATTTCTCAAAGGAATAATAAATTCTCTTTTGTTTCCTAAATCTGTGGAGTGTACTAAATCTAGAACTCCAGTGCAGTGTCCCAGGATGCCAGCACTAGTTTTTCTTCTGTAAGTGATAAATGCTAAGTGACAAGATGAACCAAATTTACAGATAGCAGAATTCCTGAGAAAAAGTACATTGGTTTTGGTTGTAGAAAATGCAGTAAAATGATATCAGAACATTAAGAAATGCAGTAAAAGCCTCAGATTAACGTTTTGGCATCTTGAGGCAAAATAGATGAATGGACCTACTCTCTATCCCGTCCGTTTTCTAATTTCACAAAGCTAAAAAGAATGCGGTGGAAGCGTATTAGAAGTTTGCTTTTTTTTTTTCCCCCTGGGCATCTACTTGTGCTGAAATATATGTATTTCCATTTTTTTCTGTCTCTTCTGTGTATATACTTCTTTATAATTGGCCATTCAGCTCTTTTCTTTATGTACCTGCTTCCATGGGTATATTTAGAAGTAAAACAGAATACCAGTTTTAATATGAAACTTGTTGTCCAGAATATATTGGTACAGCCATGTGGGTGAGTAATTAGCTTTGTATAGATAGTATTATAAAATGTGGGCCAGGTTTTCTCTTGACTGTTTTGAGAATCCTTTTTATGGCCTTCGAGGTTGCTGCAAACAATTATAGTCTGACTATGAAGAAGGCACATTTTTTGTAATGTAAATGTACTCAAATGAAAATTTAATTTGTAATCATGAGCTCCATTTCTCATAATGGACAGGCTGTGGTAATCACTTTAATTTTGAGAGACTAAAACCACAGTAAGGAAAGCTGTAACTAAAGAAATCCCAAGAGTATTTTTTATGTTAGATACTATCTAAAGAAAATCAATATTACATTAAGTGATGTTAAATCTTTTCGCTTCAAGAAAGCACTTTACTTGTCCATTTAATTAATATTAAATTCAGTAAATCAATAAATTTCTGGAGAGTTGGTTACCACAAAGACTTAAAACATGAACATTCTGACTTCCCATGTTTTGGTTTCCTACTTGCTTTGAAGTGAAAAATTTAAGCAAAATTTTATCAATATTAATACCATAGTATTATCAATACTTTCATTTAAATGAAAATGCCTCTGCATTTAGGGTATAGTGCCTATCTTTGTGTGATTCATGGAATGGTGGTCTTGGGCCATCCTCGCCAGTCTCTGGCCTTTGTTAGCATCAATGGTGCAGCTGACGTAAATGGTACCAATTGTTACTGCCTCATGCCACCTTTTAGCTGCATGTAGAAATGTGCTAATAATATAACACAAGAAGAAAATAATGAGTATGAAAGCGATATAGGTATATTGAGATATTTAAGCATTTTGTAGAGGAAAAATTGAAAAAATTATTAAAATACATATTTTAAGTTATTGTTTGACTCATTTTGTTTTCTTTAAAATGAGCCACAACCCAGGCTTGACTACGTTAGAGAATTTCCTAAATGCAGCAACAAGCTCAACTTTGACTTTGTGGGAAATGGAGATAAATATAAAACTCTTGCAGTGATTTTTTTTCTCACCAGATTTTCTCTCACAACATTTTTTGCAACATCAGCAGAAGTGTAAGGGATCTGGGAGGGTTCTGAAGAGTGTCCTTACGTCTTCCCTTCTGGGGAAAGAATTTCCACGTGAGGAATTTGTCATAGAAGAACCTTCATACTACTCAACCAAGTAAAATAGGTGTAGGCCTTCAGGGACTTGTAGTTTATACACACCATCCAATACTTACTATCTGCCATATTGCATTCCTTTTACACAGCAATAGCAGCCTCTAGAGGCAATCAGGAAAAATTGATGTTTTTATTAAGAACTGGTGCGACTTGAGTATGACAGGTGTAATTTTGGGGAAGAAAGCAAAAGCACTAAGTATGAAAGCATTTCAAAACGACACCAGATTCACCCAGTTAAGGAGACTGTTGAAACATTTATCCAAATGAGAATGTCAGCCTCATGGCCTGGCTCAGCTCTCATCTTCGCTTTGAAACCTTTGGACCCCATTCTTCAGTCTGAATTGTTGGTCCCTTATTAGTCCCTTATTAGTCATCAAAAGCCACTCTACATGTTTGTTTGTGATGTAAACCACGAACTGCTTCAAGTCAGGGTCCATGTCATGCAGATTTGTGTCCAACCCTCTGCCTGGCCCTCAGCCTGCACATATGATATGTAATACACATGCAATAACTTTGCAGAATGAATGAATGATTGAGTGGAGGGGACAGAAAACTAAACCACAGTGCCCTAGGTGCCCTGGTGGAGAATTTCTCGAATTTCGGCACCCATGGAGTTAGCTCATACTTACTCCAGTCTTTTCCAGATACGTTACTAGATACTTCTGTTTCCCTGAATTGGCCTCTTTGAGACATTTGGAAGAAGAATCATAGTTGAATTTTGGCCAATCTCCAGCACTTTCTTTTTAAATGCATTTTTTAGGCCCATGGCATTTTGAGACTTTTGTTTTTCCTATTCTCTTGAGCAATAATCACCAGTTATGATAGATTGCTATTTGCTTGATGTGTTAGCTTTTTATTGCTACCATAACAAATTACTACAAACGTAAGTGCTTAACACAACACAAATTTATTATCCCACAATTTTGTAAGTTGGAAGTCCATAAGAGGTCTCATGGGACTGCAGTCGAGTTGCCAGCAGGGCTGTGTTCCTTTACAGAGGCTCTAGGGGGTAGTCATTTCCTTGCTCATTCACATGTTGACAGAATTCAGTGTCATGTGGTTATAGGGCTGAGGACCCTGTATCCTCGCTGGTCGTCAGCTGGGGGCTGCCCTAAGGTCCTAGAGTCCTCTCTCCAGTCCTTGCACAGTCTCCTGCATCTCAGAATCTGCAACAAGGTGTCGTTTTCTTTTCATGCTACCATCTCTTTGACCTTCTGTCATTGCATTTTTCTCTCTCTATAACCGGGACTTTCTCTCTTGGCTTTTGGGGACTCAATCACTCTTGTGATTAAGCTAGGTTCACCCAGGTAATCCAGGATAATCTTCCCAACTCAAGATCCATAACCTTAATCCCATCTGCAAATCTTTCTTGCCTTGTGAGGTAACGTATTCAAAGGGATGAGAGCGTGGAAATCTCTGAGACATCATTATTTTGCCTGGGATGTTCTTAGTGCTTTATGTACATCATTTTAGTTATCTCCATTTTGTCAGAAGAAATCAAGTCTTAGAAAAGTTGGGTAAATTGGCTACATTACTGTGAAATGACAGTGTCATGATTTACATCCAAGTCTACTTGATTCTAAAGCCACCTTGCTCTAAATTCCTATACCGTGCTGTGCTGTGCGTGCATCCTAATATATATGTGCAACACACACACACATACACAAACACATTATGAACTAAGTGTTGAAAAACCATGCTGTACCAAGTAACAAGTATGGTTTGCACCGTTTCTTCTGGTCATCTTTATACAAAATCTGCTTTTTTTTTTTTTTCCATATTCGTGAGTAATGCAGGGTGGTGGGGAATTTGGCATGTTCTAAATTAATGGCGAGGCTATAAGAACAGAAAATATTTATTGGCAAATTTATTAGTTTTTCAAGACTTAATTTCGAAAAGTAATTACTTCACAGGTTAGTCATGAAGCTGTACCTTGATTGGAGACTACTAATGAATGTGAAGAAATTATACTGCTTTAATTTCTAAAAGATTTTTAATTTCCAAAACATTATCTCACAAAATAATGTGCTTATATTTTCATATATTTATAACTCTGATGTAGTTTTTTGAATTAATTAGGTTTTAGGCATTTAGTGTAAACAAAAGGTAATATGTGCTCACTGTGGACATTTGATATTGTTTATCACAATGCTCATCTACAACTGCCCCAAACTCCTGTAAATATGCCTATCTTTGCTTTAGCCCATAAGTCTGTTTGTTTTTTCTGCTTCAGGCATTCTTTTTACATCTCACTTCTTTATTTATCCTTCCTTAAAATGAATTAACTATTAATAGCTACAGATGTTTTCCTTAATTACACTATTTTAGTTTCAAGCTCTCTGTGGTTCTTGCCTTACAGATGTCTCAGTGCAGCAAGAGAAGGATGTGCTATGTGAATGTTAACTCTGCCCATCTGCCCACTCAGCTCAGATTTGAGCCTTTATCTTGTTTCTTTATCTTGTGTTCTCAGAGTCGACTACCATGGTGGAAGCATTATTTATTCATCACTGTTTCCTCTTTATTGCAGAACCTTGATGCTTTACATGACCACCTTGCTACTATCTACCCAGGTATGCGTGCACCTTCTTTTAGGTGCACAGATGCAGAAAAGGGCAAAGGACTCATTCTGCACTACTACTCAGAGAGAGAAGGACTTCAGGATATTGTCATCGGAATCATCAAAACAGTAGCTCAACAAATACATGGCACTGAAATAGACATGAAGGTAACAATCAGTAAGCCAGCCTTGGTGGTCTAGTGGTTAAGATTTGGTACACTCACTGCTGTGGCCCGGGTTCATTTCCTGGTCAGGGAAACACACCACCCGTCCGTCGGTTGTCATACTGTGGCAGCTGTAGGTTGCTGTGATGCTGAAAGCTATGCCACTGATATTTCAAATACCAACAGGGTCACTTATGGTGGACAGGTTTTAGTGGAGCTTCCAGACTAAGACAGAGAAGGAGGAAGGACCTGGCCACCCATTTCCGAAAAAATTGGCCACGGAAACCCTACAAATAGCAGTGGAGTATTGTCTGATGTAGTGGTGGAAGGCGAGAGGATGGCACAAAAACACGAGGCAGGGTTCTGCTCTGCTGTACACAGAGTCACCAGGAGTCAGAATCAACTCAACGGCACTAATAACAATAACAATAACGAAATCAGTAATGGAGGTTCTTCTGAACATAAAGATGACATGTAGAACGTTAAAAAAGATATTCCGTGAATTTACCTTTAGTTGTTGCTGCTAGTGGACCTCTCCAGAAGTATATATAAGCCATGCAGTGGCAACATCAGCAATCTTCTATATTTGGCCTTGGAATGCATTGTACAGGATATTTCTTTCCTTGTGGCGGCAGATTTTTCTTTCTAATTATACATTGCTTAAGGCAACATGAAATTTAGTTTGCATTCCCCGTGAGCACACACTAGCTGGGAAGCAGGAGGATATATGACTGGCTAATCTGTGGCCTCCAGAATACAAAACCCCCTTAACAACATGGACCGTCAAATTCCAAAATAATATAGAATTAGATATTTTACTGTTCATTGTTTCTTTGTGGAGTTTTTTTTGGTCTGTCCCTGAAATATAGTCAGAATTTCTCGTTTTGTGAACTAAAAGTTTTGCTTTTTTTTTTTAAATAGATTACTTGGTGAAAGAATCCAGGTCTCATACTTTAAAAATATGTTGCTATTGATAATACACACTGTTAGTTTTGAGTGTTAATTTCAAACTATTGATCCAGCAACTATGCAATAAAAAGAACATCATTTTTCTATATTTCTGACCCAGAGAGTCTCTCACAGTCAGCTGCTTTTTGTGTGCTCAGCATATTCAAGCCCAAGAGCCATTTTTCTGTGGCCCTAAGTTTGAGAAAAGTGGGGAGAAGGATACCCTATTGCATCTTTTCTTCTTTATGGAAAATCTAATAGGCAGTGCTTTCTTAGACATCATAGTTATGTTCTAACACATATAGGAAGCCCCCACTTTAAGTACATTATTATACAAGTAAAAATTGTAACATTTAAATTGATCATATTAGAAAAGTATCCTATATATTTAAGCTAGTAATGTCACATTAGATTTCATGGTTTTCTTACTTTCAGGAATTGTCAATTCTTACGTGGCACTTGTTGGTCATTCCCAGGTGCATCCTTAGTTTTTTTATAACTACAAAGTGGGACTATGTGTAACATGACATTATCAAATTCAGAATCATTTAAAAATTAAAGCCTTGGGTAAACGATCAAAATTCATCCGTGATTAGGAATCTCACTGAAATTCAGTCAAAATCTTATATGCCGTTCATTTCCAATCTTTAATCCTGACACCAAACTAACACTACGTCTATACTGAGTGAGGCTGTATCAAGGGATGTATGCATACTGTGTCTGCTCTTGATTTTGTTTTTTATTTAGCCATGCTGAGCAAGAAAGAGGTACATAGAAACTTCACGAAAGAAACACAAATTAGTGCACACTTAGAAACTGCTGTTGCTATGTGTATTAGAGTCTTTTGGAATGGGAGATTGATGGCATTAGCACACTCTATATAAAATTCGAATCTTTACTTAATTATGTGGTTCATTTTATACAATATTTGGGTTGTGTTGTGGCCCTCATTTATTCAAGTGCTCCAATATAGACTTCTGAAATATTTGCATTTTGTAATTATATTTTGTATATTTAATTTTTTCAAAGGGACTGTTCCAATTTCCTGAAGTAGTATTATGTCAAATCCGTAAGGTTAACAGGTCCAGAGCTACCAGACAATTTAACCACATAAGATATTATACCATATCATGAAGTGACATACCAAGGAGAGGTTAAAAAAAAAAAGTGGTTTGTTTTGCCAGTTTGATCAAAGCAAAAGAGTAGAATTGAGGAATTAATTAGTAAATTTAGGGTGCCTGTAATTCAATACCTCTAGCTAAAACGGAAGCAGAGCGGAACGTCAAAATTAGGCCTGAATTTTAGGATTGATTCTGTTTTGTTTTATTTATGAGACTTTAGGGAAATCAGCCTTAATGGGGCAAAATTTTCCAATCATAAATAAGAATCTTAATATTGAACCAGTGTTGTAGATTAGTGTGACAGTTATTGTAGTGATATCCTAATTTCACCATGAAAGTATATCAGAAAGAGTGTATACAATAGCGTCTATGTTAATTGTGGTTTGTTCTTAAGTCTCAGAATATGTTGCAGTGAACTCCTGAACAAGTAATACTTTGCCTTCATTTAGCTGTAACGAAAGAAATATTGCCCCAACTATTTCCTTTGAGATAAGAGTTTCTCCCCTTATAAGAGGATATGTTGCTTGCTGTTTCTTAACCTCTAAAGAAAAAATCTTGGGCCAGCCCTGATGGCCTAGTGGTTCAAGTTCTGCGTGCTCTGCTTCAGCAGCCTGGGTTCGGTTCCCAGACGCAGAACCACACCACTCATCTGTTAGTTGCCATGCTGTGGCTGCTGATATAAAGAAAAAAGAGAGAGGGGCCAGCCCGGTGGCACAAGCAGTTAAGTGCGTGTGCTCTGCTGCGGCGGCCCGGGGTTCGCCGGTTCGGATCCTGGGCGTGCACCGACGCACCGCTTGTCAGGCCATACTGTGGCGGCATCCATATAAAGTGGAGGAAGATGGGCACGGATGTTAGCCCAGGGCCAGTCTTCCTCAGAAAAAAGAGGAGGATTGTAAGATGTTAGCTCAGGGCCGACCTTCCTCACAAAAATAAAAATAAAAAAAAATAAAATTAAAAAAAAGAGGAATATTGACAACAGATGTTAGTTCAGGGTGAATCTTCCTCAGCAAAAAAAAAAAAACAAACCCAAAAAAAGAAAAAATATTTTCTATACCTTAATAATGTATTTGCCTGTGAATAATATTTTAGAAATGTAGTTATTTCTGTAAATTATAGAGCTTTGCTCACAATTATGATTACTTCCTTAGAGTGAATTCCTAGATTTGGAATTAAATCAAAGAATATACAAGTTTTTATGGATTTTTATACATATTGTCAATCTATCCTTCAGAAAGATTTATCAAAATACTCTCCCACTAGTGGTATTTGAGATGACTCTTTTTCTGCACCCTGCCCAACTTGGTATTGTAATTTTATATACTTGCCAGTTAATGGATAAAAACTGACACTGCTTGTATTTTTAAATATGTATTTCTATCATTTTGTTTCCCACTGTTTTTAAATATCATTTTTATCGTATTACGTATTAAATAGTGCTACTCTGTGTGATTTGTAGGTCATTCACTGTACAGGTGTGCCTGGCAGAGGGAGCTGAGCCCACCAGGACAATGGGCTGCTTTTCTCCCAGTTCTACCAGAGAGACTGCATGGGCTATTGGTGGACTGATACCAGATTTGTAATTTTTCTGTGAATAATTCTTGAGTCTTCAAGTTTCATAAATCAATGTCTAGAAGTAGTTTTCTATTTTAGACATGTATGGTATTTACATATGTTAAGTTTTTATAATTAACTCTCTAAATGCAATTCTCATAACCAGTTTCTTAGGTATTTAAGTATTTTAACTAAATTGAAATGCAGACAATTAATAGCATTTCCCCCTTTGACATCCAGGTTATTCAGCAAAGAAATGAAGAATGTGATCATACTCAATTTTTAATTGAAGAAAAAGAGTCAAAAGAAGAGGATTTTTATGAAGATCTTGACAGATTTGAAGAAAATGGTACCCAAGAATCACGCATCAGCCCGTATACCTTCTGCAAAGCTTTTCCTTTTCACATAATATTTGACCGGGACCTAGTGGTCACACAGTGTGGCAATGCCATATACAGAGTGCTCCCCCAGGTAAAATGACATCAGACTTCCTTGAGGCCCAAGACAAAAGGCCATAAAGACGCTATTGTTACATGTGGCCATTCGTTGATTTAACCCTTTGCATATCCGGCAACGTGCAGCACATCACATATCACATACATTGTTTAAACGTGAGCTAAGTGTATTTGAGCACACTGGGACTTTCCCTGGGACGGCTGTTTATTTTTTTGTTTGTTTTAATCACTTACAGGAACAGTGGGAAAATTATGTGGGAATGGTATATTTGTTTTAATGAGAAAATGGATCACTTTCTAGTAACAGTCAGCTTTCACTTATTTATTCATGCATTGAGTAAATATTCCTTAGATATCTACTGTATGAAAATAGCTTTCAAAATCAACCATTGACATTTTCAGGGAAAAGAAGGGAATTTAAAAAACACTAAAGAGGAAAACAATAGAGATTATCATAGGGTTTAGTAGAGAAGGCATCAAAGGACAGCAGTTGGGGTAAGGATGAGAACCTACATTTGACTTGTATTCTTAGGACCCATTTGTAAAATCTGTCCTTTCCACTTATTCTTTTTGCTCATCTACTAACTTTTGGAGTTGTACATGACATGTGTCTTGAGATAGTTTTTGCTTGTTATTACAGAGACTTGATAATTCAGGATTAGCCCAAATGGGATCAGGCTTAAACTATAAATCCGGAAGCAAAATGGTTTATGGCCTGGGCTCCTATGCCAGCTCTGCCTCTCCCTCATTGTGTGACCTTAAACTTGTTACTTCTCATCTCTCTGCCCATTTTTCCTTTATTATAATGCAAGGATAGAGAGCACATGAAGAACGTTTAGTCCAGTGCCTGGTCCACTGTAAGCCATCATTAACTGTTACCTATGATTATCATTAACTGTCTCTTGATAAACTATCAGTGTTTGCTGGTGGTTTTGATATTTAAATTTCATTTTAAGCCATAGGCATTTAACACCTCATGCTACATTTTAAAAGATAAATTCCGTTCCTTCTTCTTTGAAAATGCTTCTCTTATTCATGTTAGCTTATGTTTGAATATCAGTCGTCTGAATCTTTAATAGGTTTTATGTTCGTGCAACTATTTGGTGTCCGCTTAATCACTCAGTTGCATAGGTGAAGATATAAGTCCATAGTTGAGGTAAGTTTACTACAAAATAATTATGATTTTCTATTTTTAAGTGTTATTGAGCTAGTTTAATCTAATAATTAATATCAAATCGTAAAAAATATTTTGAGTAATTAAGTACTCTTTTCTTTTTATCTACATTTTAGCTCCAGCCTGGGAATTGCAGCCTTTTGTCTGTCTTCTCTCTGGTTCGTCCTCATATTGACATTAGTTTCCATGGGATCCTTTCACACATCAATACGGTTTTCGTATTGAGAAGCAAGGTAATCAAGATATGATTTCACTAAATGTGAGTAAGTAAGGTATGTTACAAATTAGAAGTGTTCCAGAGGGAAAATTAGCTCCTATAACATTCTGTGAGATGGAGAAGGCATAGTGAGATCCAAACCAAATGTCAAAGGGAGTCCTATTTCAAAGGCAATGTTATTGATTTTTGGTTTGCCCGCGGGGCGGTGAAACTCTTATCAGCTGATTAGAATAACAAAAATAAGTTTTGAGAGTGTCTTGCTGGGACAGCCCAGTTTCACATAATAAAACCAATACCCTTTATTCGCTGTATAGCTATAATGTCCTATTTTAGAAATCAGAAGAAATAATAAAGATTTTTTTTAACTTCACCCAAAGCCACTGATTTATTCTTCCTTAAATTGTCTATTACTCTTGGTGCCATTTTTGTGGGAAAATAAAAGTGATAAAATATTCATTCAGTTGATAATTTAGGTAGTTCCCAGATCTCATAGTTTCCGTTTTGGGGATTCATGGAGCAAAAGTGTCCTAGAGTACACATTTCATCCTTCCTACAGCCCTCCCAAAGGTCTTACCTACATATACTTCATGTGTTTGGAACTATTTCCAGCTGCTCTCTGAATGCAGGGGTGGGGAATGGAGAGGCTTGGTTTATTCATTGATAGAGCTTAGTATTACATGTTGTAACTGTACTGAAAAATCAGAAATAAGATTCACAGAAGCTTTAAATAAATATGTGAACAGTAGCACAGCTATTGTCTTTCTGGGTTCAAAGGAGATAATCAATTGACTTTTATGCAGTGTTTGTAAGGTAGCCGCTATGCTTATTACCTGGCAGAACTCGGATGAAAGGCCTTCTCCTGTTCTTATTGGTGCACTTATTCTCCCTTATGGTTTGGTGGGAAATGAGGTATGTGTGTTCTTCTTTTTGCTGAATTATTAGGTAGGGAGAAAGGTACTAGTTAATGGTTATGTCTTGCCTTTTCAAGGAAGGATTGTTGGATGTAGAGAAATTAGAATGTGAGGATGAGCTGACTGGGACTGAGATCAGCTGCTTGCGTCTCAAGGGTCAGATGATCTACTTACCTGAAGCAGATAGCATACTTTTTCTGTGTTCACCAAGGTAATAATTTTTAGATTAATTATAATGGATATAAGTACCTATCTTTATCTAACAAAGGAATTCAGTTCAACACTTTATTCAATCATGTCTACATAGTCTAAAGTGTAATTAGATTTTACAACTCTTGTTATACACCTCTCTATAATAAGGATAATTTCATTTAATATTTGTAATAAACTCAGAAGAAATCATGTATTCTATTTTAGTTGCCATGTCTTAATCAATTTGCTGAATGTTTATGACATTAGATCATGGGATACCTAATCTGCAGTTAGCTAACTCTATAGCTCTGTACCTTCCAAGGAGGTACCAGTAGAAAAGCAATTCTGTAAAACATCTAATATAAGGCATAAATACGCGAGTATATTTGGCACCAAGAAATTACTTTTCTAGTTACTTCTGGGTTTGAACTATTTTATATTAAAATATTTAGCTACTTTAATTGAGATACACTATTCAAAATATATTATTAAATTGAAATTTATGTAAATTATGTTATTTGTAATAAACATCAGAGGGAAGTAGAACTGCAGGTTAGTATTTCCCCAATTTGACAAAGTATTTTACTAAAAGATGCATGAGAATTCAGAATAAGAAAAGTATATCTCAGTTTTCTTTAGAACAGTAGAAAGAGATAGTTGTGGAAATTGTTAAGTGATATTTTGTGTGTTTATAAGTTTGTATAACCAAAATGTAGCACATTATTTAACACACTCAAGACAGCATATTTTGGTGGGCTATTGATTAAAAATTTAATTTAAAATCCACATGATCGCTTTTCGTTTAAAGATACTGTTTTACAATTTCTGAAAAATCTAATGAACTTTGTAACAACCTCTTTTAATATTATTAATATAGTATTAAAGACTATATGTGACTAATTATTTTTTCCTTAAGAATCTATATTATGAAAATAAAAGAGACACAATTAGGGAATATGAACTCTTTATATTCTTTTATTAATAACCTACATTGATCTAACTCTATGTTCATCTGCTGTCAGTAAGTGTTTTTTTCTTCTGCCTCTTTCCAAGCTGACCTTCAGTAGAATAAGAGCTTCTCATTAGCAACAATTTCTATTCATGGAGAGAAAGGTTTCTTTGGTAATAGAAGCAGAAAATTTGGAGTCTATTTGCTAATTACCATGTGCGGAAATTGGTTACATAGTGACACATTCACAGATTGTCATATGAGTCCTGCTCATGTGTGTAGAAAGATTTGTACTCACATTAAATAAAAGATCAAATAAAAGCATTTTTACTTATGAAATGAATAATTCCAAGATGATTAGTGGAAATTTAGGAAAAAAGTTAATAGCTCATTAAAGTAATAATAAATACATTTTTAAGAACAATGAAACTTATAACTTGATTAAATTTTCTGACTCAATATGAGCATTTTAAGCCATTCATTTTCATTTTAAGCTTATAATCATTTCTTTTCTCTGCTCATGGGCAGGTCTTATATAACATTTGGTAGATGATCTGGCTTCTTTCCAGAGATGTGTGCTTAATTAGTAAACTCTTTGATCATTTTATTTTTCTATATTGGCATGATAATTTTTGCTTTGATTTATGGACATTTCTACTGAGACTATCTTGCAGGGAGACATTTTATTAATCCAAAATTCTTCAGTAAAGTCACAACTCAATTATGTCATTTTAGAGGAGTTAACTATTGTGAATGACCAGGAGTAATCACTTTGCATTTAAAGCAATCAAACCACTAATATAACCTCAGGACATCTTCACCAAAGAATCATTTTTAAAAAGTGGTCAACTTTTCACTTACCAGGTCTTCACTGAATCAATAAACATTATTATGTTATTCTAAAAATGACAAGTTACAAAGATGCATAAAATTCAGCAAGAGCAAATAATGTTTCAAATAAATGAGAAAAATTAGTCAAAGAAAATAAGAGTAGTAGAAGAAATTCGAGCCAGAAGTAAGAGTAGCATATAAAATACATGTTAGAAAGTCATAAGTACATAAAATCCACATTGAAGATGAGTCATAAATCTTGGTTGTAAACTTTTAATCATCGTGTCAAGAGAAAAACTAGTTACAAGAATCATCGAATCCACAAGGCAAAAATGAACTAGTTTATCAAAAGAAGCACTATTAGCCCTGTCAAGGAAAATAAAGATAAATTCTTGTTCATCTCTTTATAATGAGGAAAAAATGCGATAACAATAATAATAAAAACTTTGTGTTAAATACCTGAGCAGGTTTTATAGGGAAGTTTTTTACATTATCTTTCAGTTTAGGCTGATGACATCAAGAAATGCAATTTGGCAAAAACGCATTTCAAGTCCACTGCTCTTTGATAGGTTTTTAAATGTCTAAAAGAATGAAGTCACTTTATTCATGAGATTCTCCAATTTTTTTCCTTCAGCCTGACCTTTTGAATGGTAGCAGATGGCAGGATTATACTCCTTGACAGTAATCAGGGTCGGTATTGTCATGTGGACAAGCTGGGACTGATGTTGCCTCATTTCTCTGTGTAACAGTGTGATGAATCTGGATGACTTGACAAGAAGAGGTCTGTATCTGAGCGACATTCCTCTGCACGATGCTACGCGAGATCTCGTTCTTTTGGGAGAACAATTCAGAGAGGAATACAAACTGACCCAAGAACTGGAAATCCTCACAGACAGGCTGCAGCTGACATTAAGAGCCCTGGAAGATGAAAAGAAAAAGACAGACACGTAAGAATGTAACTCTGTGGTTAAAGAAGGGCACAGCTGTTATGCATAGTATATTATGACTCTGCTATAGTTAGGATTAATAGTCAGACTAAAAGACATGGAACCCACTGTAGTTCTAGAGTAGTGGATAAACTCTTCCACATCACTTAAAAAAGAAATTATGTCTACAGAAATAAATCAGTCTTAATGGTAGTGGGAATGCATCTTCTAATTTTACAAACCAAGTTGAAAGAATATATGCTACAACATCTCTCTGAAAATCATTAGACTAATTCAAATACGTATTTAAAGTCCAACTATCCATTCATTCATTCTTTCATACAAGGGGTATGTACTGAGCATCCTCTGTGTGCCAGAGGCTGGCCAAGTGCTGAGAGTTACACTGAACACTGAACTTGGAATTGGCCATTATAGTTTAAAAGATTTCTTTTCTTGGACTTGAATTATTTTAGGGCTTGGCAGATTGAAACTGACAGATCGTAACGTCATCTTTAGTGACAACAATTGCATCTGTAATGACATACGTTAACAAAAATATCAAAATATTATTTTTCTATGAATGGTAGATTAAATTATGAAATATTGGGCAAGTAACATTTAAGATAATACTTCATTTTCAAGTAATTCATTTAAACAAATACTCATCATGCATACTACTTGGCCCTGCTTGCATGTATTAATTAAAAGCACTAAATCACTGATGTTTATAAGAGATTTTACCCAGGGTCCTGTGTTAAAAATTTCATTTTTAACGTTTATGTAATAGGAAGCTGTCTTGTTGGAGAATTGAACTGATCTGTCTTGCTTCCTGTAAGAACTATTTCACTCTACTTGAACACCCAGAATGTCAGTAACAGCATCACTTTCTATACTTTTCTGGCCTTGGTACGTGTATAGTTGCCCATGAATGGATACTGTGCCCACACCTAAACACAGCTGTTAACTTTATTAATAGCATGGATGAAATCAAGAATGCCATTTAAAGGTCTGTCTTGATCCATAGCTTCTTAATTCAATCGTCTTGCCCTTTGTATAATGAAGCTGAAAGTTTAATTTTTTTGAGATCACTTTCCTTTCCTAATGGCCCAAATTGAACCCCTTAATCTATCCAAGTATTTTGCAAATTTCAGAAAGCATATGAGGCAGGCAGCTCAAATTCCTCCCACTGTTTGAAAAACAACTCAAAATATACATTTTATTGTTATGTGGTACATTTATTCATGAAAAATAACACATTTTATGGAGCTTGTAAGATAGTACTTAGGACTAAGGTTCAAAGTCATATGGATTTGTAAGTTTGAGTTACTCAGTATCCGGCTCTGGCTGTTATATTAGAAAACCAAGTAGGTTTTATTTTTTGTAGATATTTGGTTTTCAAGGTGATTTAATTATAAACATTTACTGTTAATTTTCTTGAAGCTAAGTAGTTCTACTATTCACATTTAATATTAAAATACAGCTTTAAAATATTTAATAAAATGTTTTCTGTTTAAGAGTTAAAAATGGAAGGCTGGAGAAATTTCACTAAAGCTGGGAAAAATAAGGAGAGTTCAGTTCCATTTTGCACATTAAACTTAGCACAGTATGCCCTCTGGCCTTAGGGAAGAAAAAGGCAAGGAAGTGTCATTTGTTCCTCTGAGTCATCATATCAAGACCCCGTGGGTCTCCCTGGTTTCTGCTTCTCTCCCTCAGCTCTCATCGTCCTCCTGTTGAGCTTACCACACTTCCCCCCTCAACATAATCCCAGATGCCATTGTAGTGATCTCAGGATTGTCTATAGAAATAAAATCTTTTCTTGTCTAGACCAATTTCCACCTGTTTTATCAATTTCTTCCACAAAGGAGTGCGACATGAATGGGACTGGAGAGAAATCTGCTTCTTTTAATATTATTTACAAAAATTGAAATAAATGTCTTATTCCTGAGAAATAAACATGCTCCCGGTTTTGTGCTGTTCCTACAGTGTTTTAGGTGCTGGTATTGACAGCGTTCACACTGTGAACATCGCAATCGCAGGGTCAGAGTACAGGACTACGCGTGAAAACTTGGACTTCCTCTTGCCAGTCTTTTGTCTATTTGTTTGGCTTATTTTGATTTGGTTTAAATTGGTTTGGATTTGGAGATGTTTTATGTGATTAAATCAAGAAAATTATTTCTATTTTCTATACTTATAAATATGCCTAATAATGGGCGTCCTATCAGAATCTAGGCCTATATGGTGTAAATGGCAGCTCTATGAAGTGGACTGTAGAAGCACTAAAGCCATTCCCAGTATGTCTTACCATGGCTTTTTCCTAATCCCACTGAACAGGTTATTATATTCTGTCCTTCCTCCGTCTGTTGCCAATGAACTGAGACACAAGCGTCCAGTACCTGCCAAAAGATATGACAATGTGACCATCCTCTTCAGTGGCATTGTGGGCTTCAACGCTTTCTGTAGCAAGCACGCATCGGGAGAAGGGGCCATGAAGATCGTAAACCTTCTCAATGACCTCTACACCAGATTTGACACACTGACTGATTCCCGGAAAAATCCATTTGTTTATAAGGCAAGTCCAGATCATATCTTAATGCAGTGCCATTCAGAGTCTGAATCTTCAGACCCTACCTTCCAGAAGCACTGCAATCACAGTTCTCTGACTATAGTCCTGCAGCCTTGGTACAGTCAGCCTGTAGTCACTGTTTACCATTTTCTTAAATAATTACTTCTTGTTATAAAACTTTCTCTTCCTTGTAGCCAAAATGAATGGAGCAGATGATTCCCTAGTGAAAATGAAATATTCAACAGCTTATTTTCACTTAGACGTTAACAAATCTGCACAGGTTGTTTATCACGCAATATAAATACAGCATTCTTTTTAGTGCTCTGCAAGAGACATTTTTACTGAAATATGTAAATGCTTTGCACAGTAAAGAAGTCACAGAGCATGAGAAGGAGTGCTGGGACTCCAATGTGCTTTTAGATAACATCAACTTGAAGATAAACATTTATAAGGCATTTCTGCCCTTTGTTTCAGTTAGAAACAAATATAATATTGGAAAAATGAAGTCGGTGGAATATTGCTTCATAGAGAATGTTAACTAAACCATCACCAGGCATCTGCAGTAATATAAGTGCCAGAAAGACTATTTATTTTACAGTCGTTTTCTGAGGTACAACATAAGACTTGGGGAGCACATCATAAAAGTAAAAGGTTAATGATCACGATAAATCACTGAGCTTCAGGCGGTGGCTGTTGTACCATCAAACCGTCACTGTTTTAGGGGGAAATAAAGTAATAAATTGTTCTACTAAATTATAAGGATATCTGAGGTGAGAAACCAGGACTTAGAAGACGAAAAATCATGCTGTGTCTGTACCTGCCTGTGATCAAAGACCTCAAGTGCTTTGTAAATTTCAAATAATGACAAGGTTTCATCTTGTCGGAGTTAAAATGTATTAGAATTTTAAGACAATGAAGGGGGAGGAAAGTTTAAAGTTACTGATAGCCTTGGAAAAATATTTTTTATATAAGGGTAGTGGATGAAATTGTCATGTTTGTGCTAACCAATGAACGTGTAAATATTTGTGCTGTGTTAGGTGGAGACTGTTGGTGATAAGTATATGACAGTGAGTGGTTTACCAGAGCCATGCATCCACCATGCTCGATCCATTTGCCACCTGGCCTTGGACATGATGGAAATTGCTGGCCAGGTTCAAGTAGATGGCGAATCTGTTCAGGTTAGTAAATAAAATAGATATTATAATAGTGGTAGTAAACTTTTGTGGACAGTTGATTCATATTATTTATCAGACAATCATTAATTATGTACAAAGAAGGACAGCTTGACAACAAAGACTATACTATTTTATTGAACCCATTGTATTACATTCTTTCATAGAGATGGGAAATCTGTCAACCTATGTGAAATTACCTAGTCTGTCCCATATACTGAAAGTCATGAGGATAAGATAAAACCTTCTGTCCCTTCTGGTTTATTTTTTAAAGTCTCTTTCTTGTGTCTCATGTAAGTTGCCAGATTCACATCTCTGAAATCTTCAGACTTTAGAAAAGGAATGTTTCTCTTGGAAGACAGATTTTGTGAGGGTTTTGATTTTGTCTGTAATATCTTGGAGTTCTTCTAGAAAATTCTTATGATTTTTGTATGATTACTCTACATTACTCTGTAATATAAAGTAAGCAAAAATTAGTGTGTTAGTGATAAAAGTTATTGAAGCAAAGCTTTGATCTCTGCAGATAACAATAGGAATACACACAGGAGAAGTAGTAACAGGTGTCATAGGACAGAGGATGCCTCGATATTGTCTTTTTGGAAATACTGTCAACCTCACAAGCAGAACAGAAACCACTGGAGAAAAGGGAAAAATAAATGTGTCTGAATATACATACAGGTAAGAGAACATGTCTTGGTGTTAGTTTACTGATTTGCAAGAAAAATGTCTCTGCATGTGGTTTAACTCTGAGTGATTTTGTTATCTTTAAGCAGTTATCTTCTCTCTTAGGGCTATTTAGTTTTTATTTCAGAAGACTATGTCATTATTTCCACTTTAAATGATTCTACACCATCTTAGGAATTTCTGATATGATCATTGTTCCTAAAACCTTGAGTTGCCGTTAAAAGCAACGTTAGTGTGTGTCCTGGCTGTCTCGATTGGTAACTGTGGTACATGTCATTTCTCCATACAACCATATTCCATACTTCTCTCCCTTCTCCCTGTCCCCTGTCCTTTAGATGTCTTATGACACCAGAAAATTCAGATCCACAATTCCATTTGGAACACAGAGGCCCAGTGTCCATGAAGGGCAAAAAAGAACCAATGCAAGTTTGGTTTCTATCCAGAAAAAACACAGGAACAGAGGTATGACTAATCAGAGCCTAATTCTTTTTTGTCAAGACAGAATATAAATATGGGCAGCTAAGTCACAATCACTGAAACTATGTTTCATTTGAAAAGAATTCTTGCTTACAGACATGAACTCTTAAGTAAAGCAGCGGAAATGATGAAACATTAATGAGCCCATTAGAACAACAACAGCTTCTTAGGGGACGCTTTATGGTTGCCAGCTTTTGTCCTCTAGTAAAATTAAAACCAAAAGCTCTAGATGGAGAAGACCTGGTTTTTGTTCTCCCTCCGTAATCTGACTCGAACACGACTGAGGGGAGTGGGCTGTGAGGGCACTCCCCTGGCCTTTCCTCTCAGCGCCCTGAGCTGTTCTGAGAACACCATCAAGGCCAAGTCAGGACTGCAGTTCATGGGAAGTTTCTTAGCCATGAAGCCTCAGATCCTTCTAAGGGCCAGCCTATCTCCCTGTGGAATGTCTGGGGATCTTTGGAAATCCTAGTCCTGCGTGTGTTTTTCCTAGAAAGAAGAGTGATTTATAATTTCCCAGAATCTAAATGATTCTCTGGGAGGCTTTAGGTTCATCCTAGTACTGTGGTTGCACTCCAGCCAGAACCCCTGTGCTAGACTGTGCCTCAGAATACTGGCACCCCAAACTGGAATCCTGTGGCTCAATCCTGGTCATGCCCTGCCTTTGCCCACTCACAGCATGTTGCGCCAGAAGCGAGTTTGATGCTTTCTTCTCCTGCTGATGTATTGGTTCTTTAGATAGGGTGAGACTACTTGATTATATTTCTTTTCCTGTATGTATACATTCCCTAAAAATGCTTTTAAAGTATAACAAGTCCTAAAAGGAATGGAATGCCAGGTTTTAAAATATTTATCTTTATCTTCTTTCAGATGTTTTTACTTTAAATAATTTACTTATGAGGTTGGCGTGCTTAATGATATTCTTCTGATAAGTTAAACTATACCTCAAGGGTTGGCCATTTTAGTTAGGTGCCCCTGGTTCATCCAGAATTATGCTGGGAATGACTTAGAAAAGCTGTAGATATGAATGCAGATCACACTTTTATAGAAAAAAAATATTTGGGGGAGGGTACGACAAGCTCTATTATCACTGAAAATTAATCCCCTCTTTCTTCCACTTTTTTCAGGAAACACAGCAGGATGAGAACTGAATCATGGACTGTGGGATGAAAGGACTGTGGACTAGGTTGCACTTAATCCCCCAATACACACCAAGCCTAGGAGCAGTTATTCCCTAGGGATACAGATTTTGCTTTGTCCATTGCATTTATCCCAAGTCTTTCTCCTAGGTATATCTTTCACTGTTCATTATACAACTTTAGCTCTGCTTTTGATTATTCTCGAGGTTTAGTATATTATCTAAAGTTTGGCTTTCAGTGTGGGTGTTGTGAGCTTTGTGTGTCTTAAAATCTACTGCAAGCATTACCTAACATGGTAATTTGCAAGTAGTAGGCACCCAATAAATATTTGTTGAATTTAATTAAATGAAACTGAACAGTACTTGGCCGTGTGCATATACACCATGGTTTGTCAAATCTGTTTAGTGCTCCATATGTATATTTTAATGACTATAACATACAACAAAGTTTATATCGTGTTGGTGTATATTATTATAGAAATCATTTTCTAAAGGAGTGAATCCTAAGTTTTAGGAAAAAATGTGATTTATTTTCAGACTTCCCAAATAAAAATTAATATACCATGCTAAGAAAATAGTGACTATTTTGAAATATGCTAATTTCCCTTCAGAAATATAGAATACACATTTCTCTTATTAAAATATTTGATTGCTCATTCAAATCATGTGGCAATTATAATTCCTCTAAAATGCTATCATTTGTATTGTATCCCTTATATTAAATCTCATTAACCACATGCAGCTGTCATAGAAACCTGCACTGTTTCACACTGAGCTATCACGTTAGCCTGGGATAAATGTTAGGGGCTCTAACCACATCCAAGAATAAACTAGAAGCACTGCTGGGATTCTCCTGTTAGAGCCGTTCCTGGCTTTTTATTCCCAGAAATGAGCTTCTTTTTCTTAGCTTAGAAGAATGTGACTATATCTAGGGCATCATGTTCAGAAAAGTTAGTTTAATTTTGACATGGAATGCATTCCTATTGGAATAATTGGCCTATTGTTCTTAAATGTCTCTGATAATTTATTAAAATCTATCTTTATAAAATATAGTGCAACTACTTTTGTGTAAAAATGTTTGTCTTTAAATTTGGTATTTCGTATCAGCACATCAATATATGTATAAATGTTCCATGTTAATGTGTAAAATAATCTGCAATAAATTATTTTTTCCACTTGTCTCTAGACAGTTTTTATGTTAAAAAGAATGATATTAATGTTATTATTTGTCATATTATTAATTCCACTTTTGTAAATACATTGTATAATAATTTTATCTCTTGTGAACTTTAAATTAATTTTGATTCACCGCTGTTATCAAGTTGAATGTCTCTTCTTAAATAGGCATATCCTCAAATACTGTTTTTCTTTAGTACCAACAAAATGAACAAAGCAAAACTAGACCTGGAGGTGGCAGATACACAGATCGGTATGACATGACATCAGCTCGTGAACAGTTCACAGTCTTTTAGGTGTGAAAGACATGTATGCAAATAATTAGAATATGTGCTATTCATAGTGATAAAACATATTCAAGATACAGAAAGAATACTTAGAGAATGAGAAATGAGAGGACAAGGGTGGGGTGGGACTAGGAGGAGGCAAGGAGACCAGTTGGGTGTTATGATGGTTTAGTTTAAAGATGAATTAATGAGATGGAAGCCAGGATCTGCATCTGGGCAGATAACCGATGCTCAGTGTCTCTGATTTCTCTCCTGTTTAATCCTGTGCCCAGTATTGCATTCTGTGCGTTGAGTTTGCTGTGCCTAAGGTTATCTCCCTAATTTCTAAATTCCGTGAACACTGATCAATCTTTGTTGCATTGACACCAATGACTACTTTGTGGAGTTTTTTTGTTTGTTTTCATTATTTCTGTGAAATTATTTCCCAAACATTTTTTTGTGCGTGTGAGAATTTTAAAACATAAAGAAAAGTTAAAGAAATTGTACAGGTACAATCATACACTACCACCTAGATTCTACAGTTCTTAAAAATTTAGTGTATTTCTGACAATTCCCTTTTCATCCATTTTCGAGCTTTCTATGGTCTGCTGGATTCTATTTTTGTGTTGAGATATAATTTACATACTGTAAAATTCACTCTTTTAAAGTATACAATTCAGTAGTTTTAGTATATTCCCAAGGTTCTGCAACCATCTCATTCCAGAATATTTTCATTATCCCCCAAAGACATCCTGTAACCATTAGCAGTCACTCCCAAATACCACTTTCCCCAGCCCCTGGCAACCACTAATCTACTTTGTCTCTAAAGATTTGCCTATTGTGAACATTTCACGTAAATAGAATCATACAATATGGGGCCTTTTGTATCTAGCTTCTTACATGTAGCATAATGTTTTCAAGGTTCATCCATGTTGTGGCATGAATCAGTATTTCATTACTTGTTATGGCTGAATAATAGTCTGTTGTATGGATATACCACATTTTGTTTATCCATTCATCTGTTGATGAGAACTTGGGTTGTTTCCACTTTCTGGCTATTAAGAATAATGCTACTGTAAACATCCATGTACAAGGTTTTGTGTGTATGTATGTTTTCAGTTCTCTTGTGTGTATATGTAAGAGTTTAATTACTGGATCATATAGAATTTTACATTTAAATTTGTGAGGACCTCCTAAACTGTTTTCCAATGTGGCTGCATCATTTTTCTTTCCCACCAGCAATGTATGAGGGTGCAATTTCTGTATATCCTCGCCAACACTTTATTGTACATCTTTTTGATAATAGTCATCCTGGTGGGTGTGGGGTGGTCTCTCATTGTGGTTTTAGCTTGTATTTCCCTAAGGACTAATGATGTTGACCCTCTTTTCTTGTGCTTATTGGCCATGTGTGTATCTTTGGAGAAATACCTATGCAGATGATTTGCCCATTTTAAACTGGATTGTTTTTATATTGTTGAGTTGTAGAGTTCTTATATTCCGGATACTAGACTCTCATCAGATGCATGATATGCAAATATTTTCACCTGATCTGTGGATTGTTTTTTCACTTTCTTGGTAGTGTACTTTGAAACTTAAAAGTTTTTAATTTTGATGAGGTCCAATTTCTCTATTTTTCCTTTGGTTACTTGTGTTTTAGATATCATATCTAAGAAACCATTGCCTAACCCAAGGTCACAAACGTTTACACCTGTATTTTCTATTAAGAAGTTTTGTAGTGTTAGCTCTTACAGTTAGATGTTTGATCCGTATTGAGTTGGTTTTTGTATATGGTGCTTCTAGGGTCCAAATTGACTCTTCTGCTCATGCAAGTCCAAGCATCATTTGTTGAAAAGACTATTCTTTAATCATTGCATTGTCTTGGCATCCTTCTTGAAAATCAATTGAACGTAAATGTAAGTGTTTATTTTTGGACTCTGATTTCTCTTCCGTTGATTCATGTCTATTCTTATGCCTATACCACACAATCTTGTTTACTGTAGCTTTGTAGTAAGTTTTGAAATTGGGAAATATGAATCCTCCAACTTTTTCTCTACCGGCTTATTAAGCATTGATGTTCCTCAAGATTCCTTCCTTATCTCCTTTAATACTCTCAAATGTCAAATCTGTGACTGCTAATAATCGTGGCTACCAGTTGGTGCACATTTACTCTGTGCAAGGTTTTATTCTTGCCACTTTATAAGGTTATTTCATCAATATCCTAACATCTAAGAGCTAAGTACATTTTATCTTTTAATATGCTATTGTATTTTGTTTGCTAGCATTTTACTTAAGATTTTTGCGCTCATTTTTGTAAGGAAGAATAACCTGTAGTTTTATTTGTTAGTGCATTTTTTGTGTGTGTGGAGGATCTCTAATTGTTTTCTCTATTTCTTCTCTGGTAATTGATCTCTTTAGACTTTTTAATTTTACTAGACAATATTAGTAAGTTTTATTTTTTTAAGAAAATTATCTATTTCATTCAGATTTTTAAATGTATTTTAATAGGCACACAAAATACAACTTTATGGTATTAAAATTTTTCTCACTTTTGAAGATTATTTTGCCTCAAATACTGTTTGTTTCTTTATTTTTTTCCTTGATCTTGTTTATTAGTGACTTTTTAATGTTTCCATAGAACCAGCTTTTGGATTGATTAATTAGTTTTACTATTTTCCAACTTATTAATTTCTGCTTTAATCACTAATTTCTTCTTTCTACTTTATTTAATTGAGTTTTTCTTTGTCCAGCTTTTCAGATTATATGTTTAATTGCTTTAAGAATTGAATCCTATCAGATTTCCTCTGGTAAAAGCATTTGGACATATTCCAATATGTCATATTTTAGCTATTATTATTTTCAAAAAAATTATCCAATTTTACTTGGTATTCTCCTTTTGTTCCAAGACTTGTTTAGTCATGTGTTTTTCATTTCCACTTTTTTCTGTATCTTCTCTCTTTTTTTGTCCCAATTGTTTTGTTCTGATCAGTATAGATTCTGTTCCTAGCAACTTCTTTCTGTACAGATATTTTTATCCTGGAAAGGAGAATTTGTTGGTTATTTCCAGATATCCTAGAACCCATCCCATCCCATCATCTTCAGAACTTACTCTAGTCAGCTTACACTCACTCAATAATTGGCATCTGTAGAATGCTATCCTAGGTTTGGTTGCCATGTTCTTAGATTAGTCCACTGAGCTTTCTAGTAAGTGTGTTTTTGTGATATTTGGATTCTCCTGTGCTCAGCACCATTTCCTTCCCCCTGTTTTCTCCCATACAGATAACACCACCACCTGATGATTGTAGCTATCGGGAGTCTTTTCCAAATCTATAAGTTTTGGGAATATTTGGGTAGCAATTAAACAATTTTAATTTTGGCTTAGGCATTTGTGGGTTTTTGGCTTTCTAATTTTAGTTGTTATGCCTGTTTTTAAGGGAGATTCAAAAAGATTAAAAAACTACAGTGACACTGCCATCTTCCCAGAATCCAATATATATTTTTTGAGCATCTACTTGTGGCAGACACCGTTCTAGGTTTTGGGATACCTCAATGAACAAAACATCCCTGCCTTTGGAGAGCTTACATTCCACTTTTTACATCGTGAATATTTTTAAAAGTCTACTTTATTCTGCCTACACTCTCCTACTTCAAGTACTCATCATCTCTAACCTGAAAAGTTGCAAGATCCACTTTATAAGTATTTCTACTTCCTGTCTTTCCCTTCTCCATTCTGCATTCCCAAATTACTGCCAGAGTGATATTTCCCAAATCCAAATTGCTCTCCTGCCTAAAATCACTTAATTGCTGTTCATTGTCTATACACCTTAGCAGAGCATAAAAAATTGTCGTCTTTTCCAGCCTCGTCTGCTGGTTGTTACCTTTGTAATTTTCTTCTTTGCTCTGTCTGGAATGCCCTGTACCAATACTCTGCTGGCAAACACCTATTTCTCTTTGAGACTCAGTTCAGTGTCCTCTCCTTGGAGATTTCCTAGGCCAATTTAGTTCTTCCTTACCTTATTGTCCTGTAACACTTATGATGGTTAGCACATTATCTGTTTACATATGTTTCCTTACTAGCCTTTAGGTTTCTTAAGGCTAAAATAGTTCCTCTTTCCCTAGATTTGTCCCTTGAGCCTACCACAAAATGGGCACTTAATACTTGTTGAGTGAAGGAATGGAGAGAGCAATCTCTTCAAGTGATGGGGCTAGAAACCAAATTTGAAGGGAATGAGAAATGAGATTGGAGAAAAGAGGAGGCAAAAAAAAAGACTTTAAAAAGTGACATTATTAAATTTGTGCTTGGAGGAAATCATGCTGTCATTGGTGTAGGGCCTTATTTAGAGGGAGAAGAACTTGGATTGAGGGTGGAATTAGAACCTCTCGTAGTTTGTGTATGGGCCTACTTAAGGTGATGGCAGGACAGGAGGCTCATTAAAGAGAGATCGAAGTTAAAAATTAAAGGTGCATATTAACTTATTGGCTATAGGAGATGAGGAGAAGGCAGGTGCCTGGGCTTCTGGCTTGGATAGTAGGTAGATGATGGTACTATTAAGCGGGATGGAGGATATAGAAAGGTAACTGAGTTTAGGAGAAAAGGTAATAAGAATAATATTAGACATGAGTTTCAAGTTCTTGTGAATACATTTAAGAGAGAGACTACTATTCTCTCCAGGTGGCATTAATGTGTATTGAGAGAACAGATCTTTTTTTTTTTTCCAAATTGGGCTGACAGAGTTTTGAAT